TCCGATCGGTGGTCAACCGTTCCTCGAACCGCTTAATCACTCGCGACACCGTGGAATTCGCGATTCCCAACGTTTTAGCGATGGAACGATGCGAGAGATCCTTGTTCTCGTGATGAATGCGCAAGATTATATCACGCACGAGCTGTTCTTTCGACTCCATTTCCGCGAGTTTTGATCACAGGACTTTAAAACTTGCAGGATGTAAATAATGCACTATGAACTAAATCCACCCAAATTTTCATTTAATTCTACCCAACGGTTAAAAAGTTAGAGCAATTTCATAGTGTGGCAATTTCATCGTGGACACCCTTTATAGTATCATAGAGGTAACTCTAAGACTAGAAGGTCCCGAAATAACATGCTCAACTTTTTGGCTCAGCTCTGGTACTCTCTTCGGTCCCAAGCTAATCGATTCACCCCTCGAAACATAGGAAAAACCAATAACCCCTCATTTTATCTGTCAAACTTTCATAGCTAATCAAAACAAACATTGTGTAGTACTAGAATTTCGACTAGAATGGGATACGTTAATTTAAAGTGATCAGACGTCCCGGATTCTGCAGGACAGTCCCGGATTTATCCTACATGTCCCGCATTTACAAGTGTCCCGGAAAACGTCCCGGATTACCAAATGTCCCGGAAAACGTCCCGCATTTGAAAAGTGATTATAAAATGAAAATTAGTGCACTCTTATTTATTTTCAATTCCACCAGATAGAGCGCGCATCATTTTAAATCCATTTCTTAAGGGTTCGACTAATACTGAAGGGTATGAAATGACATTTCAAGAAAAAGGAACAAAATGAATCGGAACAACAACAATAACAACAACAACAAAACTTTTGTCAACTACTGCACACTGCATCATTCCCATACATTCGAAGTGACTGGCCCTCTGGATGTGGATGATGTCAAAAACAACAAAACATGATTAATTCAAAACCTTTAGTTTCGTATTGATTGTTGATAGTATGTTGATGTCAATAAGTCAAATAAAAAAAATATTAAGTAATAAATAAAAATCATAAGAAGTTAAAGTTGTTGCTGGACGCTCTTGGATGTTACACGAATAAAAAGAGTTGTTGATAATGTTAGGTTATGGCTCTTAAATGTTCCGGTAGAGAATAATAAAGGAATTTCTAATGAATTTTGGATGAGAACAGTGAGAACGAAGGTCAGTAAGTAATTCTGAGAAGATTCCGGTATGAAATTGCCTACAAATAAAAAAAAATGGATTTGTATAGTGCTACAATTCAATGCAAATGCTTCTACTTAAATGTGCTGTGTATTGATATTATTGACAGATCCAGCAAATATGAATGAACCTCGGAATGAACCTGATATGAGTAAAGGTGGTGCTAACGCGTCGATAGTTCAACAGAATTTATCGTTCTTTAGTCCGGCATCTGCCACATTTTTAATACAAACATCTCCCACAATCCGAGATCCGAAATGCGTGGGGATCATGGATTCGATGGTTTGAAACAATCATGGCAGCAGCGAGTATCACAGATGGTCCTTGCCGTAAAATGCAGTTACTTGATATGAGAGGCCTTGAGCTCTAGAGTGCCTTTTATGGTTTTCCTGGATGTGAAAATGATGATCCAACAAAGGACCCGTGCATTTTAACGAAAGAGAGATTGACACAATATTTCTCACCGAAGCTCCATGACAGCTTCGAGAGATTTCTGTTTTGGTCTATGATACCTGGTGATAGTGAAAGCATAGACAAATTTGCTCTCAGGGTGCAATATAGGGGAAATGGATGTAATGTCGGCCTAAATGCCCCTAATTTGGGCCCATACATAAATTCAGCAATCGACTAAATTTTCAATAGTGACCAAAAATATCCATTAGTACCGTCTCAATGACGCGTTCATCTAGATAACATTGATAAATAGCAGATTTTTAGCAATGGGCCCAATCTTAGATCCATAGGCCAACATTAGAGCCATTTCCCCTACATCTGAAGATTTACGTCAGAAGCTGTTAGAGAAAAAACACTTGACCCTCGATGAAGCAATTAGAATAATCAATGCCTACCAATCAGTAAGGTACCAGTCAGCAAAAATGAACCCGAAATCGGTTGGAAGCTCACTAAACCGTCCCTACGAACCTGTAGGAAGTACAATCAACCGACTCTACGAAAGTTCTTCTAAGACATTCGGAGCAAAGTCACGATGCTTGCGTTGTGGGTACAGTCGTTATAGAGAAGCTGAACATTGTTGCAGAAGAGTTGGCCACTTTCAATCTGTTTGCAAGACTATAAGAACACAACTAATACTGTAAGTATTGTTTTCATTTATCAATAGCAAACTCAAACCTTTATTTTTTTATTTTATGCAATATGATTCACATTTGATCGAAAACGCAAAGCATTGATCGTAGATAATCAGGGTCCGTCACACCCGGCAAAGTATTCCAGGCCTGTTTACAAAATCTATGAACATAATGATGAATCAAAATCTGAAGATCTTTCAGTGTACAATGTGGGAAATTCCGATGAATTGATAACATGTTGCATTGGGGAGTTGATATTACCATGATTATTGATTCAGGACCCAAGAATAGCTTGATCGATGATACTACATGGGAACTTATGAAACTGAGAGGTGTAAAGATACACAATGAAAGATTCGATCACGAAAAACGGTTTCTCGCATACGGTCGTGTTCCGTTGAAACTAATTACCGTTTTCGACACCGACCTGGAAATAAATGACACAGGAAAGCTAATAAAAATGAGTGCTTTCTTCTACATTATCGAAAAAGAGCAGCAACCATTGTTGGGGAAAATAACTGCGCAGGAAATTGGAGTACTTAAAATTGGATTGTGACCACCCTGTCAGTCGAATAGATATGGTCAAAGAACCATTCCCCAAAATGAAAGGCATTACGTTGAGTCTGCCTATTGATAGAATGGTTCCACCAGTTATCCAGCCTCTTCGTCGATGTTCTATTCCGCTTTTGCAACAGGTTGAATCTAAACTGAACAAACTGTTGCAGTTAGATATCATCGAAAAAGTTAAGCAACCAACTTCGTGGGTTTCCCCTCTGGTTCCGATACTTAAAGTCTTTTATCACTTCGAGACTATTACCTTGAAGAAATATGCCAGCTCTTCGGAATCCCGGTTGATGAAGCTTTCAGGCTGAAATCGTCTCACAATCCCGGACTAGACGGAATACCGTCCGTTTTCCTGAAGGAACGGCCTCTGAGTCATCTCTTTGGATTGTCTTTGAGCTCAGAAATCATCCCGATCTGCTGGAAGAACGCAAAAATGTATCCAGTTCATAAGAAAGGGGACAGGAAGTATGTAGACAACTACCGCGGATTCATTCGCTACTCACTTTGGCGACTACTGTGGCGTAATACTTTTAATCTGCCTCCTATGAGGAACGTTGTTCATTAATACACTTAGAACCTCTCAACACTCGTCTCGACACTCTAAGAGCTATGTTTATCGCTGATGTTCTGCAGAATCGAATTGATTTGCCAGCTTTATTGGAACAAATAAACATCAATGTGCAGCCTAGGTCCTTGAGAAACAACCAGATGCTTCGATTACCACTTATTAGAACTAACTACGGCTTGCATAGCGCTATCATCGGTCTTCATAGATTATTCAACCGAGTTGCATCTGTGTTTGACTTTCACATGTCACGTGAGTTACCGCGACGAAAATTTACCGCTCTATTTTCTTGGAGAACAAATCTTAACGAGTAGTTTTTAGATTTTACTATATGTTTTATTATGTACATGACAGTCAGTAGTATAAATTAACCATCATTGGGGCCACGAGCAGTTGTTGCAGAAATAAAATAAAATAATGAAAATTTATGTACGGGAGAAATGAAATATATCAAAACATTAAATATGTAATAATCAAAATAAATTTATGATATTCTGCAATGAAAATAATAAATATTTTACATACAATAAGGTGCAGCTTAGAGCAAACTAGAATACGCTTATTTTAGATAAAATATATTAAACCTACATAATAAATACATGGTAGAAGTTGGTAAAATTAATGCATTTTTTTAAATCCAGGGTTGAACTGTTGACTGAATTAAAAAAACAAAATTACAAGCTATCAGAACGCCCAACAACGCATAATTGGAACATCATACCCAACCGATGATGGAAACGGTTGAAAAAGATAAGTTTTCTTCCTGATTCATAAACATTTTACAATGAAATAATTACGTTAATCAAGCTTACTCGTTCATTGTTCAGGACAAATTTAGTGATGCACCAAATATTACGCCGGCCACCGGTGGGAAATGGCCGAATATCAGTTAAGTTAACATTTGGATGCAAACGCACTAAATATTTGATGGATCACTAGTTAAAGGTATATGAAAGTGATCCAAATTTCGCTAATAATAAAAGTATTATTTTTGAGCTTAACATATTAAAATTTATTTCATCTAATTGAATGCCTTGATGCAACGTAAGAAGTGGATAAACCTCTTTGAATTAACCATTCAGCATTTTGTCGGGCTAAAAGAGGTGCAAAATCTTCATATATTTTCACATATAGCATTATTTTCAATAAACATTATCTTTTTGAAACTATTTGTATGGATCACATAAAACCAACTATTTGTATTATTATATCAATTCAGTAAATTTGTATGCTTATCTCAAGAGTATTCGGGAAGTGCGATCCTAACAAACAATTTCAGCTTTAGACTATATTATACAGGCAACAATTAGCTATATATATATGCAATTTTTTCCAGTATAAGCTTATGTGCATCTAAAATTGTTAGTTGGGATGTCCCTACAATATTAATCGGGTGGACAGGGTTGTCTACATAAAGTGAAATATATTTTTAGAGTCCTACTACATATATCTGAAACTACTGATAGATAATAACTGCTACCGACAATAAACTACGGATCAACTTTTTTCAAAGGTTTGTTATCAGATGTGTGATATTAATTTATTTCATCAACATACCTGCCAACATTTTAACCAGAAATCACTTTACTTACAGTTTAAATTTTACCTTTTCTTGAAGTAGTTTAACATTAAACACTGTTATTGATACACATCTATTTAGCTCACAAATGTCATAATAATTAAAATTGCGTTTTGACTGCTTTGCCGATGACTAACAGTGTCCGATCAGCTGCGAAAATTGTAAACGCAAAAAACATATTGTATAAAGCTCAAACAGATTTGACATGTTTTGACTTTTCTGTAGGTTGTTATCACATATTGGAATAAGGATGATTGAAAGGTAGACTAAATCAACTCTTTGCAAATATGTGTATGTAAGAAGTTTCCTAAGTTTGAAGTCCAGGCCATTCTAGTCATTCAGTGAGACGATCAGTTATGCATACGCTCTGGACATGAGTATGAGTAGCTGTTCGTAATGTGTAATGTATTTGCTTCTCCACCTACACGTAGAACTTTGAACTAAAGCTGATGAAATGTCATTGTTGATAACATTTGAATCACCCGTTTTAATGCTTCGATACAAATATAATGCAATGCATGAAATTAATAACATATTTCAATCCAATTCAATGCAATTCTTGCATAGCAAACCAAATTTAAATTATAAACGCTTTTTTTTTACTATAGTCACTTAGAGTGTTATTGGGTCTTGACTTGTCCGGGGGTGAGTGTATGTGTAACAGTTTACAAATACTTACATCGATTGCATTTTTATTTTACACGAAGACGCTTAAAGCTGACTAAAATAATAACCCCATTATCGGTTATGGTGTTGTGTTGTTTCTGTCTTCTGTCAAACTGTGCTGTGCGCTTAGCGAGAAATTCGTATATGTTGCCGTGGTAAGGATAGGCATTTTTCAAATGTTACGTGAGATACGATCTATTTTTTTTACTAAGCATTACTACCAATTACTACCACTTTAAGTTGGCTGAAAATTTCAATTCGTTTAATCCTAATATTAATTTCGAGAAACACTTATTTTGTATTTAAACAGGAACAATGCTCAAGAAAGCTTAAATTTGAATTAACTTGATCATCTGTTCAAATAAGTTTGATAACTATTTACAAAGAGCTTTGAGTGGGTTGGTTTATTTAATTTAAATTCCGTTATAATTGCTTACCATTTGACAGATACGTTGTTTTCGTCTACTACTTGCAGACTTCATGAGTGCCAAGTACTCAACACCACTTGGCACTGATGAAGTCTGCAAGTAGTAGACGAAATACGCGTAACTGTCAAAAGATAAGCAATTATAACGGAATTTAAAGGAAATAAACCAACCCACTCAAAGCTCATCATAAAGGGATTCCGTTAAGAGGTTGGACAAATTTAAAGGATTAACTATTTACTGTTTTTATAACTCAATTTAAAATTTGTTTGACCAAATATCACAATCATATTTAAAGACAATCGCAAAAAAACTAAATATAGAGCAAAAATAGAAACGTCCTCCTGCAAAGCTGTGGATCATAAAGCTCTCTATCTTTTTGTGGATTAGGTTAAAGAGCATCATAGCAAAGTGTTGTTTTGGACCATCTTAACCGAGCATCCGTTTAAGTGAAAACCAAAATAATATCAAAATCAAATTTTCTCCGATGATATATTTTAAACCAAACAGATTATGGAATAAGAGGTTTCAAACTATGAGAATTAAATTTTAGGGTCTTTTATAAAAAAGTTAATGAAAGTTTCATTTAAACATAGCGGATGCCTTGGTCACCTGAACAACTTTGCCGAGGGCAAACATTCTATATGGACAATAGAGTGGTTCAAACCGAGGTTCAAACTATCGATTTTGTTTCACCAGACTCAATTGATTCCTAATCATTCTCCCAAAATTTGAGTTTATTTGGATGCGAACTCATACTGCACTGGCCCTTTGAAAATTATATGGGAATTACTATCGTTCTAGCCGTTCGCTTTAATGATCTGCGGAAATGTTTGCTATCTGTACTAATGTGAATTTTTCTCAGCTGCATCTTTGCTCAAGACCGCATTTGGATTGAACCTCGGATTGAACGTCAGGATGATTAGTTATTAATTAATTAGGAAGATTATATGCTATGTCGTTAAGCAAAATAACAATAACATTGTGATACATTGTTTCGCCCGGGGAATGGACACAACAAATTAATGCTAAATCAAAACTAACTATTGTTTGCTTAAGGTAATTCCTTGTAGAGTAGACAAATGGCCGCCACGTTGGCTATACATGCACTTTCACTTCGAACTTTAAATAACACAAATCTCGGACATCACTGCTTCATTTCATTTGAAATTACATACCTGTGCAGTGTTGAAATTTGTGCACTTAAAGTTTCTAAGTGGTTCCGAAAATAAGGATGTCACAGCCATGCTTGGCATACACAGTTGTACACACTAACTGCATTTGTTAATAACTTTTCACTCAGTTGTTTTAATTTATTTTTCTTTAAAGTAATTGATAGATTAGGATCATAGTTTACTATAGATATGCAAAGAGTAGATAAATTTCAACATTTGAATCAACACCAATGATTTTTTACACTTAAAGTCCGAGATGTGCAGCGAGCATTAGTCACTTCATTTTTACAACACAAAACCAAATAAAGTTTATTACTAGTCTACTGTTTTTTTATGTATCTATAAAAAGCTTAAACTCTACTCTATCTACTGCTTTAAAAAAACTATGTTACGTCAACTGTGTGTAAAGTTATTAGCAAATGAGCAGTTCGTGACCAAAATTGTATATGCCACGCATGGTCACAGCGAATCACCTTAATAAAAGGATATTGTTATTTCTACAATACTTGCAATTGAAGTGGCTTATTAAAACAAAAAGAATTTTGAATTTATGTGAATAAGTATAATATACAATATAATTTCAACAGGAATTGTTTGTTTAAATACAACTGAATTTTTGTTTGTTTATTTGGCCGTTGAAAACATAAAGTTCACTTTTCCCACAGTAAAGTTCAAAGGGCCAGTGCAGTACGAATTCGCATCCAAATAAACTCAAATTTTGGGAGAATGATCACAACCTGATTCAGAATCAATTGAGTCAGGTAGAGCATAATCGAAATTTCGAACTACCCTAATGAACAGGCTTTCGAGATAAATCATATACAGGAGGTTCACGTGAACGCTAGCACCACGTAGTAAGTTAATTCTGAACGTCTGGAATTACTTGGTCACCTGATATAGCATATACAGAAAGTTAACTTAAACACTGACAACCATCCGGCAGGACTAGGTTACTTCAATTACTTTTTTGAAGGCCATATGCTATATGACTGAGGCAAAATTTGATTTAGATGTGTCGCCCCCCTCGTGTATTAGTTCATTCCCTGAAAGTTTCAAGAAAATCCGACTTAAAATAAATTTTTGGCGAACACTTTTGTCTGGTACATTTTTTTCGAGTACAGGCCTTAGTCATGATGTCGATGTCATCGGAGTAGCCAAGAAGCTGAGCAGACTACCTTAAAATCGTGTAACTCGTGTCTACACCCGATCTTTGGATTACATCTTAAAAAGCTATATTATACAGCAGGCATGAAAGACCATCACCTTGCCGTAATCCTCGCCTTAACCCTCGCCGTAACCCTCTTCGAGATTTGAAGGGACTCGAGAGTGTCCCCGAAATTCGGACAACGCACATCACTCTGATGCATCGTCGCGACGCGTCGCCTTGATCAATCGCCTCAGTCACGGATACGAATTTTGTTCATATAAAACAAAAATATAGATGTTTATGCTCTAAACATATGAATTATTTAAAGTAAATTGAAAGCATGCTTGAAAACTAAAATATATATGTTTGAATTAAATTCAAAAGCATGTTTATTTCAACAATATAGGATTTGGGTAAACGGTTTCTAGCGTGTCATGCCTTTTTATTTCCTTCTTGTTACATTCGGAAAAAGTTGCCCCAGCTTCGCTCAACTCAACAGAAAACGGCCAGAAAGTGGCAAAACCACAGATGGATCCGGAAACCAGCTCGACAAAACCGGCGGAACCCCCAGTATCAACTTCGAGAGTATCGATTGTGTCGTATGATGATTTGAAATCAATGCATAAATGATACGCGGGCACTTTGGGTACGTGGTAGCGTGGGCACCCATGAATTCCGCCTGGTATTTCCCCACAAATTATTTTGCAATCGGTGATAGTCTGCAGCATAGTATTTGATGGAGTACCTTGTATGTGGCGCTGTGCAGTGTGATCGTGCGATAGTTGCAGCAATCCAACTTCACAGTTCGAAAAAATAGTGTAAATTTCTGTTCAATATGATGCATATAAAAGGAGCGTCACATATTATATAAGTTTACAGTATAAATCGTGTAAAATTCTGAGACTTTGCATGAAATTTTGCAAATATTGTATACAAAAGACCATATTTGTAAACAATATTGCTTACAAGTTGCTTGTTTGCGTGAAATGAAAAAGTAGAAGGGTCTGTGCCTAGGGACACGAACGGAAGCTTGACGTAGGACCGCTAGTGGACGGAATAAATGTGAAGAGCATTTAGTTCTTTTAATTTTTTTTTATCTATTATCTCAACTCTTTCCGTTTTTGAATTGTAGGCGTACCAAATTTGTAGTAATCTTTTTCAAAGAGAAATTTGATTAAGAGACTCAATCAAAATCACTTGCACCCATGCTTCCAAGTTTGATTGCCAGATTACAACTCTGGAGAGCATTTTGTGTGGTCGTTGTGGGTTTGTGGTTCTGAATATGGACAAACAAGCACAGATAAATTCTATTCCAACTCTTTACTGATGTAAGCTTGATGGCCCTGAAAAGGGCTGTTTTATTGAAGAGGACATCCATGGCCATTTACGCTTGGCGTGTTTAGTGTAGGTGACAGCATCACGGACCTCATTTTCCAGGAACACCTTCAGCACACCTCGTAGATCAGACCGGAGATACGTTTGACACCACCACGGCGAGCCAGACGACCGATGGCGGTTATCTCGAAGAACTTTGTGATGACGCTTAGCGCCTCCTTTACCAGACCTTTCCCTCCTTTGTTAGGTGTGAACGAGTGAACTAGCCACCACCTTCCTACTTCTGCTATTGCTGTTCACCACGCCGTCCGAAGCGAAAATGAGCTAATGCCATACAGTCGCGCTCTTTTATATCTTTTCA